CTGCATCACTTCTGTGACGCAAGTGAAACAGGGCATGGCACTGCAAGCTACATTAGATTCACGAACCACAAAGGAGATACTCATGTGTCATTCATTCTCGGGAAATCCAGAGTCAATCCTCTGAAGCAAATCACCATTCCCAGACTGGAGCTCGCAGCTGCTACACTTGCTGTAAAAGTTGACAGGATGTTAGAGAAGGAACTAAACATGAAACTACAGAAATCAACCTTCTGGACAGATAGTACATCAGTACTAAAATACATCCACAACCAAACAAAAAGATTCCATACCTACGTTGCTAATAGGATAGCTGTGATTCACAACTTGTCCCAAGAAAGCCAATGGAGGCATGTAAGTTCCAAGGACAATCAAGCAGACTTTGCATCACGTGGATTGAATATTGAACCATTCTTGGAGTCCACAAGATGGTTGAATGGCCCTGACTTCCTTTCAAAGGAGGAAAGTGAATGGCCCGAAATGCCAAAGGATCTTGGCCACATCCTCCTTAATGATCCAGAGATTAAAAAGGACATCTCTGTTAACAGCTTGAAAATAAATAACTGTGCAACCACCGACCTCATTGAACACTACTCCTCTTGGAAAAAACTACAGAGAGCAGTTGGTTGGTTGTTGAAACTCAAAAGACTGCTTCAATCAAAAAGAGCTAAAGCACCAGTGACCCGCTCCAAAACTGCAGAAAGACAACAAGGGCTATCTGTGGAGGATTTGGAGGAAGCAGAGAAATCCATCATTCACTACGAACAAGAGCGCTACTTTGAATCTGAGCTGATGCTGCTAAGGAAAGGAAAAGATGTTAAAGCTGACAGCCCCTTACGCAAAGTTGATCCTATTCTGGATGAAGGTATCCTACGGATTGTAGGACGCATAAGTAAATTTGCTATGCCAGTACATTTGAGAAACCCATAATCCTTCCAAAAAACTCCCACATATCCAAACTGATTCTACGTGATATTCATCAGCAGGTCGGACACTCTGGGAGGAACCACATGCTCTCCAGACTAGGCCAGAAATTCTGGTTACCCTCTGCCAACTCTTCTGCAAGGAAAATAATAAAGGCTTGTGTTTTTTGTAGACGCATGCAAGCTAGAGTTGGAGAACAAAAAATGGCTGACCTACCTGAAGATCGTGTGGCTCCAGACCTTCCACCTTTCTCTCATGTGGGAATTGACTATTTCGGACCCACCGTGGTTAAAAGAGGTCGAGGCCAGGTGAAGCGGTGGGGGGTAATATTCACCTGCCTTGTGAGTCGAGCTATTCATCTGGAGGGGGTGAGTACCTTGGATACTAACTCCTGCATCAACGCCATAAGGCGGTTTTCATGTCGAAGAGGACCAATTCTAACAATCAGAATAGATCGTGGGACCAACTTTGTAGGCGCTCAGAAAGAACTGGAGACTGCTCTAAACCAGCTTGATCACAAAAGGATCCAGGATTCCCTGCTCTCTGAGCAAGTCAGGTGGCTGTTCAATCTCCCATCAGGAGCACACTTTGGAGGAGTGTGGGAAAGACTGATCAGGCTGGTGAAAAAAGTACTCTTTTCAGTTCTTCAACATGCTACAAACTGCCTTTTGTGAAGTTGAATCTATTCTCAATGACAGACCAATCACAACTGTGTCAGCTGATCCTAATGATTTAGAACCCCTCACGCCAAACCCCCTGCTGCAGCTGAAAACCAAACCACTCTTACCACCTGGACTCTTCTGCAAAGATGACCTCTACACCAGAAAGAGATGGAGACAAGTTCAATACATTGCAGACCTCTTCTGGCAGAGGTGGTCTAAAGAATATCTGTCACTCATGCAGCAAAGGCAAAAGTGGCTCAACACTAGAAGGAATCTTCAACCCAACGATATTGTGGTCATCGTCGATGAAACAGCACCAAGGAACTCATGGCCCCTCGGCCGTGTGGTTAAAACCCTGCCCGGACCCAAAGGTCTGGTCAGAAGTGTGTTAGTTCAGACCAAGACTAACATCCTGCAAAGGCCCATTAGTAAGCTCTGTCTACTCCTGGAAGCCAACTGAGCCAAGAGCTAGACAATGCCCTACCCCTTATCCCCTGCACACACACATACTATCTTTCCATACACAAACTTCTCTATTTCAAACTACACTGATACCCTTTTGACTATTGTCTCCTGCCTCAGGGACAGTGAGTGGTGAAACCACAAAAGACACTGATGCAGCATGAACTTTGGGGGGGGATCTAAGTGGGGGCTAATTGAAATGACTTGTTGAATGTATATATGCATATTAGTAGACTTTGTATGATAAACAGAAATGTAATTAGATATTTTGTGTAGTTTAAAAATATTTAAAGGTGTTACCTGGCTCCATAGAATGTTTTGTTGTAATTGATTTGCTATTGCATCACAATTAGGGGCCGGTAGGATGAAGCCATATCTAGGAGCTTATATTATTTAATAGTTATCCATTTATTTTATTGTTCTTTTTTGTTTATAGTAAATCTTCCTTTTAATTCTTATTTAAGTTGATCAAATAAGTTGTACTATGCCTCTGTTTTTGTAAAGGCAGCCTTTGGGCACCGGGGGAGGGGATACCTGCTCATTATAAATATGGGAAACAGGTGGTAGTGAGCGGCGCACCCGGTAGGCTTATGGTTTTTTACCATCGGGTAAGAAGGAAGAGAAATGCTTGACGTGTGTATAATACATCGCACTGAAACGACTTTTGCTCGGATCTGGATTCTTTCCCATGCGTAAGATTAGCTGACGGGTGCCTCAGCGGCACTTTGCTTTGATTTATATTTCTTTCTTATATTTTTATGATTTTGGCCGCTATACTTACTGTTCGACATGAAGCTAGAAGCTACCTTACATTACACAGTCACAGGGGAGTGATTTGTAAAATATCCATAAAGAAAAAGAAAATCTGTTTCATATGGGTGTTGAAAGAATCCATATCTCTTAATTTTGCTCTCAAAGTGCACCAGATTAATGTTCTGGGAATGTAATTTTCGAACCTGTTATGCCCCCATTGCCCAGCATAACAGGCTTTTTTTTTCACGAAACTGTGTCTCAGGGCTTCTTAAAATGTAATAAACTATGAATGTGTCATACTCACTTAACGGGAAGAAACGAAGCTAACTGATGATATGAACCATTTTTACCGAAACAAAACACAAGTCTCACAAGAAGCGTCTAAATGAGCCCTGAGCGAAAAAATGCTAACGCACTTAGCACAGAACTCTAGGTATAAATCGATCGATATACTTATCAGATCTGCACAAACAAGCTTTTCAAGCAAGCCGAGATTCCACAGATTCTAGAAGTATAGTTATCATCAATGAGCGATCAGAACTCGCGACAGGGGAAGCAAAACCAGACAACACACGACGTAGCTTTAGGTAGCAAAAAACTGAGATATGCTCACCTTTTGCTGTTATTCTGATCAAAAGTTGTGTTCAATGGCATTAAAACGAGAAAAACGCGGCTGAAGGTTAATCCAATGTGTCTGTCACTTTGAAAAAATTATTGATAATCCATAATTCAATTGTTATGTCAAAAACTGAGTTTTCATATTAGCTGCTAATAATAGCTTCCAGAGTGCATGACAGCTTCCTGTTTTGGGTATTCTGGCTACACGTCACTATCACTCCTTATTTGGTAACGTGTGTGTGTATGTGGAACTTCTCAATTCCATTGGCTCTAACGGTTAAAATGAGATGTCAATCATCAAAATCGACCAAGGGGGGCCAGAGATAGGTCAAATCCACCCAAATGACCCCAGAAGTGTTTTGTTGTTGTTGCTAAATCTCTCTAAAAAGGTCAAATGTAACTTGTTTTGCATCAATCTTGATACAGGGTACTTATTATATGTTATAATTTGGATTCCTAAAGCTTTTAGTCTACTATCGCATTATTCAAGGGTGGTTTCCTCTATAAGTAATGTGTTTTTTTTGGACAGACACAATAATTTACATTTCTTTACTATGTTCAATCTGAATTTACCTTAAAATAAAAAAAATCTATATTGATTCTGACTCTTCTACATCCAACTCACAGGTTTATCATTGCTTTGAGAAAAAAGATTATTAATTTACCCTTTTTAGAAGTGAAGTTATGGTCATTTGTTCTGGGAATGTAATTTTCGAGCCTGAGGCCTGGAAAACAGGCTCGGGGCTTAACAGGTTAACTTCAATATTTAAAAAAAAATCTTCCCGGGGGAGAATGCCCCCGGACCCCTCTAGAGGAGGTGAGGACCCCCGTAGAGGAGGTTAGGTCCGCCTCCCACTTGTAAAAAATAGCACTTTACCCCTGCTTACACATATGCCGTGAGCTGATTATCGAGCCTTCATTAGGCGCTTTCACACCGCAGTACTTTTCCCACAAAGGTTCATCAGAACTTAGTTAGTTAATAATTGTTCAATAAAATAATTAAAACTTGTTCTTTTCTACTTTTAAAAAAAAAATCTGTTGAAATGTCATGTTTTTTGGTTTAATTTTACATCGAATATTTCCAAAATTCCCCAGCTTAACTTCCCATGGAAACTTTCCGGAAATTTACCGGAAACTTTCCGCCCCTTTGCAACCCTACTTCTGGACAGCTCCACCTACCTGTGTCCTGTAAGAGCCCGGCTGAGATTTATGTCTGTTAAAAACACTCCATAGTAGCTGAGCTCATCCATTATCTTCCCTTCAGGAAATGGGCTATGCTAAACAAAGGCGGTTATCCCTGTCTTGTTCACCTCTCTACCTGCACAGCTCTGCCAGCAAAGGTCGGAGGTCAAAGGACTGAGTACTGCAATACAGCATTATTGTGACTACCATTTCACACGCACACAAACACACATACATGAAGGAGACCTGCAGAACATTCCACAACGGCACAAGAGCCGGGAGGCATGGACATCCTGAGGAAACAACACTCACTTCCTGTCAAATTAAGCCAAGCCGACGGCTGCTGGGGTTGATAACCGCCACCGCTGGCTGACCACTGACTGGCTGATGTAGAGCACCACCTTAATGTCCGCTCCCGCCCATCAGAATCAGATCTGCCCCCCCACACACAGCCAGCAGTCACTAGTGTGGTAACCAGCGGGACAGCCAGCAGAGTTCCTCAGACAGGATGGGCCTTCTACTTCTGCTTACCTCCATGCTCCTGTCCAGCTGTAAGATCACTGACCTTCTATCTTCTGCTTCTTTGGACTTCTTTTTGTGGAGGTGATGATCGATTTGTTTCTAACCTGGTGCTTTACTTTCTTATCTCCAAGACTTCCATTCAGGGAGAGTGGTGACGGCACAGCGATGTAAGTATGATCTAAGATAAAACATACTTTACTTTTCTGACTGAGTGACTTCCACAGAATAGTTTGGAACACAAGGTGGGGTTTACAAATGCCCAGTGTTTTATTTATTGTCAGACTTATTGAACTTGAATTCGAACTTTGTATTCAGTTGTTGGCAACACTTCTAGTTGAGACACATGGTCAGTGGAAAAGAGTGGTGTTTGTTATCAGAGCTGTGTGGTCGCTGCTGTCTGGTGGAAATGCTGTGGCAGGGAGTGTTAGGAAAGTGTTGGTTTGCTGTGTCACGCCCCCCCCGTCCTCTGGAGTTGGTTGGTGATGGAAGGCATGAGTCAGCCGGGTGGGTTGTTGTGAACGAGATGGAGGCATCGTCCGAGCTGGGCTCAAGGTTTAAATAATGACCCGTATTTGGATTGGTCTGTGTTTTTCTTGAAATATTTATGGAAAAGAATATCTTTGATTTTAGTGGAAGATGCTTTAACGAAAACAACAAAAAGGATTCTGGATTCAGTATAGAGATGCTAATTTCAGTGTCTACAGTATAATGCTTTGTGATAATAAAGACTGTGTGGCAAATTTAGGAATAAATGAAAAATAAAAACTATAAGATTATGGAGTTTATTATGATTAAAACAATTGTATCAACTGATTGCAATAATGAAAACACACACAGCAAACTTGAAACAAGATGTCAAATGTATTAACGCTAAACACAAACGCTTTTTACGATAATGTTATTTCCTAATTATCAGTGACTTCCATAACAACAAGTTGAAGAAAAAAAAAATATATGTTTCATAAATAGAATTGGTAGGCCAGAACTATGGTAGTCTTTTATTTGTGTGGCGTTTCAACAGATAAAGTTTGTGTGAACGATTATTGTCCATCAGTATTAATATGTTGTTTAATAGAAAGAAAAAGGTTTTAGAAGAGATGTTTATTTGGAAAATAAGAATGATTGAGAATCTTGGAATAATTGATAATGTCTACAGTGTGGTGTTACTTCTTTTACTTTACTTATAATATGTGTGTACCCACCACTGAAAATAATGTACTACAAGTAAAGGCCCTGCATTTATGTTCTCTATTAAGTAAAAGTACTGAAGGATTAATACTTAAGTATCCCACTGTCTGATGATGACGTATAACATTATTCGATCATTTAAACTCATTTTGTTGTTGCAGCTGCGTGGTGGAGCTCATTTTAACTACGTCATATACAGTACAGTAGTACTCAATCGCTCTTTGGCTTTTCTTGTAAGGGAATAACTGGTTTAATGTTTAATAATGTGCCAAACTTTATAAGCGATCAATTGTGTTTAATGTGACATCTCAATCTGAAAAGTAATTATAGCTGTACATCCAGTGGCTCCGGTCGCACTGAAATGTAGTCGATGTATAGTAATAAAGTAGCATGACATTAATTAAGTATAATAACCAGAAGTGGAAGAAGAACTCAGATCTTGTACTTAAGTAAAAGTACAAATACCAGAGGAATACTCTGTTGCAAGTAAAGGTCCTGCAATCAAAATGTTAATCAAGTTAAAGTACAAAAGTATTGGCAATGCCCATTGTAAGCACCAAATCATTTTTAACTTAGTACGTATTAATACTAAGTAAATACTAATAAATTAGTACAAGTACCTCAATTGTTCACTTAAGTACAGTTCTTGAGTAGATGTACTCTCCAGCCCTGGCTCAGTGGGTCTGCCATCATGCACACAGCGGACCCTCTGCCCGGCCCCTCTGATTCACCTCATCATCGGCGCTGCCAGCTCCTGCTGAATGATGCTGGTCGGGGGGGGGGTAGAGTCAGAGGCTCTGAAGTGGTGATAGGTCCCCCGGGGGCCCTGTTTGTCTCACAAAGTGCGTTTCCTGCCCTTTTTTCTTCTTGTTTTGCAGGTTTGTTTACTGCCCCACCTCAACTGAGTCACAGCAGCCTGTTGTTTCTAAAACTCAAACACAGGCGGGAGCAGTACTCAGATCTTGTTATTGAGTAAAAGTACAAGTACCAGAGTGTAGGAATACTCTATTACAAGTAAAAGTCCTGCATTCTAAATGTTACTCAAGTAAAAGTAGAAAAGTATTAGCATCAAAATATACTTAAAGTACCAAAAGTAAAAGTACTCACACTCATTGTGCATTACTCCAATTTACTCCAGGTCTAACTAAAGTCTGATTTAAGTGTTGATTATATTTCTTATCATTGATCCAAATCTTTAAAGTAACTAAAGGTATACACATGTAGTGGAGTAAAAGTACAACATTTACTTCTCAATTGTAGTGGGGTGGATAGTAGCATAAAATACTCAAGTAAAGTACAAGTATCGCAATATTTTACTAAAGTACAGTACTTAAGTAAATCTACTTAGTTACTTTACACCACTGCTCAAACATACGTGTGAGCAGGTGCTCTCTATCTGTGGTTACACTCGGAACACTGAACTGTTGTCACTTTTTAAAGTTAGCCTACTTCTGAAAGACAACATGTGGCTCCTTCATTCGCTCAGTCACAGTGGCTTCTACTTTCATGAACCTGACAGCAAATGGATCTTTCTTTTATTTTGCCTGCATGTACCTGGGGACTAATAATAATAATAATAATAATAATAATAATGCATTACATTTTTTTATTAGAGCGCTTTTACAGGTGCTCAAAGCGCTTTACAAGTACACATTACACATATTAGACATGTAAGAGTCATTACTGCGGACATTACCCACAGGAGCAAATGCGGGTAAAGTGTCTTGCCCAAGGACACAACGGCCTGATCATACATGATCATTTAAACTGATGGCTGCTTTGGGATCAGTTCAGGTGACTATGGGTTCTTCTCAGGTCGATTATTTTTCATTTCCTCGCTCCTCGGTCCTCTGTATCACCGGAAGTCTTGAGTAGCGTCCCATTGCCCTTATTTGTGCCGGAGGGTCGAGGAGCAATAACGGAGGAGCGATAATCGAGGAACAACCAGACCATCCTCCGGTGAAATCCTCAGCCACTCGCCCCGCCCCCTTACTGTGTATCGCTCACTGATTGGATGCTGCAGCGCATGCACTGATCTGATGCTTCTTGACATGAGAGCAGTTACTAGCGGAGTGAAGAAAACACATGAAACTCACGGGACTCACTCCTCAGTTTATTATAATAATAATAATAACTTTAATATATATAGCGTCTTTCATCAGCCCAAGGTCGCTTAAACAGTGTTTTGTTTCAATTAATGTATCATTTAGTTAAAAATATGTGATATATCTGAACAACAGTGGACAATCCAATGAATGTTAATCTAACTGGGTTTTGATAGATAACATATCTCTTTTTCTTCTCTCAATAATTGTCATTCTTTTGTGCACTCAAATCAATATTAATCAAACTATTGTTCGTTTATACATTTTAAGAATGGCGTTTATCTTTTTTTGAGAATTAGTTATTTTATTTATTTGGGTCTACAACAGATGATACAAATGTTTACTGTATGTCAGTAAATGTGTGCTAACAGAGGCGGGGGTGTTTGTGAAAAAAACGGGGAAAGAGCTGGCTGCTGTCAGAAGATCAGCTGTGCAGCGTCATCACAAACAGATGTCGCTTCACGTGACGCTCCGAGGAAAGGACATCATCCCATTGCTCTTAAAACTCATTTCCCTGCTTCTTCTCCCTTCTCGTGGTTTCCAGACGCAAGTGAGGGACGCAATGATTGCATTTAAGAGAAGTGAGAAGCAGCCCATGAAAGTGTTCACATTCTGCCAAGTCAATAACGCAGTTGGGCTGCTGTCATCAGTCCAGAGACCATGAGGCTTAGAATTAAAAAGTAAACCATCATTGCTAACTGTGAAGAGATTAAAAACATTTTGTTTAAAAACCAAGCAACATTTAGGCTAGATACATACAAAGGGAACGTTTTTTTTATTTTTTATTTTTTCAAGTGTATGAGCTTCTTTTCCACTGTCAGCATTATAGTATAATAGATGGTGGTTACCCAGTTTGCAGTGGTATAAAGTAAACTAAGTACATTTACTCAAGTACTGTATACTTTAGTACAATAATAGGGGCTTGTACCTTACTTGAATATTTCAATGTTTTTCTACATCGTACCCCTACTGTACTGCAATTCAGAGGTAAAAGGTTGTACTTTTACTCCACTACATTTATTTAATCCCTTTAGTTACTTTACAGATTTGGATAAATGATGTGAAATATAATCAACTCTTAAATCAAACTTTAGTTACACCTGGAGTAAATTCCCATGCTACCCTGTATACAAAGTCATTAAGGTGCTGTTTACACAGGAACGGAACGGGTTTTATTCGCTACTTTTCTCTTTCGTATAGCCCGTCGTTCACACGAGGCCGTAACGGAACCGCGGAAACGGACCCCTAAAACGATAACGGATCCCAAGGTGGATAGATCTGCGGACGGAACACTCTGCGGGGCCAAACGGCTCTGTGTATACGTCCTATACCAGGGGTGCCCAACCAGTCGATCGCGAGATGTGTCTAAAAATAGAACAACAATATTCTGTTTTATCGTTAATGTCCTATAACATAATCTTCCTGTGCCAGAATAATGCACTTGAACGCATCAAAGCTTTGTGATTGGCCGGCGTGACCCCATGTTTCGGGGCGTGGCTGGTGGGCAGTGCGCTGACGTTGTCCGTGTCAACAGGAGTGACAGTCCGCACACACACAAGACCGCAATTATGGCAAAAGCAAAAAAGCCCAAAATATATAATTTTCACTCCGAGTGGGAGGATGATTATTTGTGTATCTATTCCAATTCAAAGTCCATCTGTCTCATCTGCAATGCGAGCGTGGCTTTATCGAAGAAGGGTAATTTAGGAGCGGCATTTCAAAACGGTGCACAAATGCTACGAGACGGAATTCCCTCCTTATTCTGCCCTACGCTCCCAAAAGGCGAGGGACCTGAAAGGACAGCTAAATGCACAGCAGTCCATTTCCACCAGGCCCAACAACAAGAGCAAGGCTGCTACCATAGCATCTTAACG